ATTTACTGAGAATTCAATGAGTAATTTACTGAGATTTTATTGAGTAATTTACCGTGAAATTATGAAAAATTTACTTCGAATTTTTCAAATAATTTATTGAGGATTTACGAGAAATTTACTGAGTAATTAATTGACAATTTAATGAATAATTTACTGAGAATTTCTTGGGAATTTAATTAGTAATTTGCTGAGAGTTTACTAAAAATTTACAGGGAATTTATTGACAATTTTCTAAGTAATTTACTTTATAATTTACTGAGAATTTTTTGGGACTTTACTGAGTAATTTACCGAGTAATTTACTGGGAATTTACTGTGTGATTTACTCGGAATTTACTTAGTAATTTACTTAGCAATTTACTAGGTAATGTTCTGAGTGATTTACTGAGAATTCAATGAGTAATTTACTGAGATTTTATTGTGTAGTTTCCCGTGAAATTAAGAAAAATTTACTTCAAATTTTGTAAATAATTTACTGATACTAGGAATTTACTAAGTAATTAATTGAAAATTTACTAAATAATTCACTGAGAATTTCTTGGGAATTTAATTAGTAATTTACCCATAACTTACTAAGTAATTTACTGAGAATTTACTCGAAATTTATTTAGAATTTTCTAAGTAATTTACTTCATAATTTACTGAGAATTTTTTGAGAATTTACTGAGTGATTTACTCAGAATTTACTGACTAATTTTCCTAGAAATGTACAGGGCAATGTTTTGAGTAATTTACTGAGATTTTATTGAGTAATTTACCATGAATTATGAAAAATTTACTTCGATTTTTCTAAATAATTTACTAAGTAATTAATTGAGAATTTAGTGATTAATTTACTAAAAATTTCTTGGGAGTTTAATTAGTAATTTACTGAGAATTTTTTAAGTAATTTACTTTGTAATTTACTGAGAATTTTCTGGGAATTTACTAAGTAATTTAATGAGAACTTACTGAGTAATTTACCGAGCAATTTACTGGGAATTTTCTGAGTGATTTACTCGGAATTTACTGAGTAATTTTCTTTGCAATTTTACAGGGTAATGTTCTGAGTAATTTACTGAGAATTCAATGAGTAATTTACTGAGATTTTATTGAGAAATTTTCTGTGAAATTAAGAAAAATTTACTTCAAATTTTCTAAATAATTTACTGAGGATTTACTAAGAATTTACTGAGTAATTAATTGAGAATTTAATGAATAATTTACTGAGAATTTCTTGGGAATTTAATTAGTAATTTACGGGGAATTTACTAAGTAATTTACTGAGAATTTACTGGGAATTTATTGAGAATTTTCTAAGTAATTTACTTCATAATTTACTGGCAATTTTCTAGGAATTTACTGAGTATCTTAAGGAGAATTTACTAATTAATTTACCGAGTAATTTATTGTGAATTTACTGAGTAATTTACTCGGAATTCACTTAGCAATTTACATAGCAATTTATTGGGTAATGTTCCGAGTAATTTACCGAGAATTCAATGAGTAATTTACTGAGATTTTATTGAGTAGTGTACCGTGAAATTAAGAAAAATTTACCTCGAATTTTGTAAATAATTTACTGATACTAGGAATTTACTAAGTAATTAATTGAGAATTTACTAAATAATTCACTAAGAATTTCTTGGGAATTTAATTAGTAATTTACTGAGAATTTACTAAGTAATTTACTAAGAATTTACTCAGAATTTATTTAGAATTTTCTAAGTAATTTACTTCATAATTTACTGAAAATTTTCTGGGAATGTATTGAGTAATTTACTGAGAATTTACTGAGTAATTTACTTAGAAATTTACGGGGCAATGTTTTGAGTAATTTACTGAGAATTGAATGAGTAATTTACTGAGATTTTATTGAGTAATTTACCGTGAATTAGGAAAAATTTACTTTGATTTTTCTAAATAATTTACTGTGGGTTCACTAGGAATTTACTAAGTAATTAATTAGGAATTTACTAAGAATTTCTTGGGAATTTAATTTGTAATTTACTGGGAATTGATTGAGAATTTTCTAAGTAATTCACTTCATAATTTACTGACAATTTTCTGAGAATTTACTGAGTAATTTAATTAGAATTTACTGATTAATTTACTGAGTAATTTACTGTGAATTTACTGAGTGATTTACGAGGAATTTACAGAGTAATTAATTGAGAATTTAAAGAATAATTTAATGAGAATTTCTTGGGAATTTAATTAGTAATTTACTGAGAATTTAATAAGAATTTACTGGTAATTTATTTAGAATTTTCTAGGTAATTTACTTTATAATTTACTGAGAATTTTCTAGGAATTTACTGAGTAATTTACCGAGTAATTTACTGGGAATTTATTGTGTGATTTACTCGGAATTTACTTAGTAATTTACTTAGCAATTTACTGGGTAATGTTCTGAGTAATTTATTGGAAATTCAATGAGTAATTTACTGATATTTTATTGAGTAGTTTACCGTGAAATTAAGAAAAATTTACTTCAAATTTTGTAAATAATTTACTGATACTAGGAATTTACTGAGTAAGTAATTGAGAATTTACTTAATAATTCACTAAGAATTTCTTGGGAATTTAATTAGTAATTTGCTGAGAATTTACAAAGTAATT